GATTGTCAAAATTAATCTCACCCATTGGATGTGAAATTGGGTGCTACATTCATTGCATTGACCAAGCTCAATGTTCAAAATAAATTTTCTCGAACTTTACGACACATCCAAGCTATAAGATTTCACATCAGATGGTTATAAGTAATTGTAATCTCATTGTATAAAAAGTAATGATCTCATTGTCTACAATCCCTTTTATTATAATATTGTATTATTATCTCAATATATTAATACCATATTATAATTAATAGTAAAATATAAATTTTTTATTAATATTGTAATCTTAGATTTATAGTAATAAAACAATTTTATGTTATTATATAATTATTATAATTATGGTAAAAATATTTATGTTTACTATTACTATTATTCAAAATAATTATTATTGGAATAATAATAATTTAAATATTTTATTAAATAAATACATGTTATAATTAATAATATTGTGATGTTTAATGGTCATGTTACTCAAATGAACCAAAACCGATTTGTCGGGTCTTGTATTTGGTTGGACCTAGGTCGGGTTCTCGACCCGATTGCTACCACTACATCTGAGTCAAGCTTAAGTGAAAGACAATATTCACTTCTCTAGCTAAATAGGGCAATAATCATGCAATAAGTGACAGTGAATCCAATAGTCAAAGAAATAGTCATACACCCAAATTAGATGATTCTGCTTGGCTCCAGTCCCAATATCCAAACAAGTACTAAAACAATCCCAATGACTCATGTTTTTACCAAAAATCAAGCCAAACAATTCACTAAACATGAGCATAATGTGCAGTACCATAACCACATTGCTCAAAAGTCAGTTATTCTTTTCAAAGAAATACTTTCTCCTTTTGTTCAAATGACCACAACCAGACAGAGGTGAAAATGGGCCGGATGGTCCTGCCTGGAACAACATGGCCTCAGCCTATTAAATTTGGCTCGAGGTCCGGATCTGGGCTTGAAATCTAGCCTAGTGGCCAGGCCAAGCCAAGCCAGGCCTAGAAAGCCAATGAGGTTTTCTGTTAAGTCAGTAAAGAAAGACCAAATTTATTGGCATTGTAGAAAACCAAGCTGCCGGGCCCAGATGTTCAAAGTGTACAACCTGTATGGGGCAGGTGCCCCAGCAGTTTTTTTTGGTAAGATCTCTTGTCATGTAGTTTCCGGGTGGTCTGGAACCTTAGTGTGATTAAGGGGTCAAGTTTTGCCTATGGTATTTGAAGGTCCTGTAGAAGGATGTAAGTGGTTGTTTTATACTGTTCATGGTCCAAATGCCTTCCTGTAGGGGCGAATTTTGGTTGCAATTGAACAAATGAGTCTACTATATCATGGTGTTTAGTTGGGGATTTCAATGTTATAAGGTGGCTAAAGGAATCCAATAATCTCTTGTAGAATTAGATTATATATGGAGGCCTTTTCTGAGTTTATAATTTCTAATGAATTGGATATTCAGATCTTCAGGGCACACTTTTCATTGTTGAACTACAATTCTAATAATCTGAATATAGCTAAATCAGACTGATTCTTATTCACAAATTCTAAAGAGGCATTGTATCCTGATGCATTTTCTGAAGCCCTTGCTAAATTGTCTTTGGATCATGTTGCGAATATTTTGGAATCAGGAGAATTTCAGTGTGGACAATCCCCTTTCAGATTTGCGTTTTGGTGGCTGGATGAAAATGATTTTAATGAGATGGTGAAACAAGTGGTCAAATGGGTGGGCAGGCTAGTATCAAAGAAGTTACAGACAATTGAGCAAAAGGTAATTGATAGGAAAAAGATCACAATGTCTAATATCAAGCATAAAATTGCAAGTTTGATGGCTGGGTATCTAGAAATTGATCACACTGAATAGGATCTAAAGCAAAGATCAAGTAGGCCAGAGGATGAATATCCAAGCTTTATTGTGTGAATGCCTCTAAATGGAAGAAATATATTAGCGCCAAAGATCCATCTTAAAAATAGTTAAATGAAATACAAAGTTTTTTCATGCTATTACAAATGTTCGGAAACTAATGAATGTTATTAAAGGGATTAAATAGCCTAACGTAAGATAATGCCCCTGGGCAGAATGGATGAATTTCCTTTGTGCTTCTTCCGGCGCTTTTTAGGATGCCTAAAACATGATATTTTTATAATTACTGAAGAATTTTCCATATAGGGAGGATTAATAAGGCAATTAACGCAACACTTGTTAATATGATTCCCAAAAAGACCTCCATTGAATGCACCATTGTTGGTATGAAAATCTTGAGAATAGGATGCACCATTTTTAGAATTTGACTTTCTTTTTTTAACTTCATATCCACATATTTTGAGGTCAAGATGATCAATTTGAGGTTCTCCAATGTCGGAACACTCTCTGGACGATTTTAGAAGTGCACCTTGCTTTAATAGTATAAGGTGCATTATTGTATAAACATTTGGCAAGAAAATTGTTTACCTCCAATAAATGTGGTTTTTATTGTAAAAAATTAGGGAAATTTACGTTGGACCATTTTTATTTGGGAAAATTACATACATATATCTTTTATAGTTTGCGTTATTACAAAACTACCGAATAGTTTTCGTTATTATCTATATGTGCATTTTTTTAATGACATAACGAAAATTTAAAAAAAAGAACAATTTTACCCTTTTTCGGTTGTTGAACAACCGAATTCAATAGAATTTCAGTTGTTCAACAACCCAAATCAAATTTTTTTAAATTCAATTTTTGATCAACCAAATTCTCTCTGTGTACCTTTATTTCACCCACGCTTTATCCATCTTTTCCCTATATTTATCCATTATCTCTTTATACTTTATATTGGGTGGGTTTAAACTTCACTATGTTTATCCATTCTCTCTCTACAATGACTGATCTACATTGATCACGTTGTCTCTATACTTTCTCTCTAAGCAATCCGAAGGTGCAACCTTGGAATCGCTTACTGAAAAAGATAACGTACAGTTTGAGCTTGGACATTTGAACCCGAAGGTTCAAAGAGGAACCTTTGCACTGCTGCTCAGTAGGGCATGCAAGGTGCTTGAAAGATTAAACCTTCAAACTCTCCAAAGACGGTTCAACAATTGGATCTTTCCTAACCGCGCTCTATATAAAAGAATTCGGTTCGAAGGTTGCATCTTTCAATTGATTTGTAACTGGAACAGAGAGAAAGGATAAACATAGGAAAGAGTTTAAACCCACCCAATATAATGCATAACGAGAAAATGGATAAACATAGGAGGAAAGAGTTTAAAAGGAAAAGACGGTAAAGCATGGGTGAAAGAAAGGTATAAAGAGAGAATTCGATTGTTCAAAAATTGAATTTAAACAAATTTGATTAGTCGATAGAGAGAGAATATACAGCGGACCTAAAATTGAATTCGGTTTTTCAACAACCGATAAAGAGTAAAATTGGTTTTTTTTTTTTTAATTTTCGTTATGACATGAAAAAAAACGGACAGATAAGTAATGACAGAAACTGTTCGATAGTTTCGTAATAACACAAACTATAATGGATATGTATGTAATTTTCTCTTTTTATTTTATTTCTATTAAGGTCCGGTCCTGATATATTCATTATTTCCAGAGAGGTCCTTGCTCCTTGATTTTTTTATTATTTCAAGTTTGGCTTCAGTCTGATGTTTTAAACATCGGACCGTATATTAAATCTATTTTTATTTTTAATTTTTTGATATTCATAGGTGTCAAGACCATCGAACTGCGACTGTCCTCCACTTAGTTGGTCCTATATTCGAAACATCATAACCTTAAATCTTCAAAAAATGAAGTTTAATATTGATATGATATTTCTAACATCAGACTGTATTGATTGGTGAAACCTATATTGGTGCATGTTAACAAGTTCTAGTACGTATACAATCTTAATTGGTGCATTATAAGGGAACCATGTTACTAGTAGAAACGTATGTACATCAACCCAACCAACACATACCATGTTACCAAAACGGTGGTACAACGTTTAGACCTCATTTTTTGAAGGATTAATGGGTTTGATGTTTCAAACAGGCGACCCACTAAAAAGTTTAAAAAGTTTAGGACGATCTGATGTTCGGAACATCCGATCATCCCTACAAAATTGGTGTTTGATGTTTTGGTAATTGAACTGACCTATGAATATCATAAAATTAAAAAATAAATTTAATGGGAGGTCTGATGTTTAAAACATCGAAGCCAAGCCAAATTTAGAAAAAAAAAAGGAAAAAAAATTAAAAGACAAAGATCTTTACAGAAATATCACAAATTTTTGGACCACGACAATTAAATGGTCAAATAAAACTGCATGGACTTAATTTTCCCTAAAAATTACAACAAGAGGCACTTCCTAATTAAGAACACACCAAAATATCGCGTTGGTTTTTTATTTTCTTATACATCTTGATTTTCATCCTAATTAATAACACACCAAACTATCGCATTGGTTTTTTATTTTCTTATACATCTTGATTTGTATTATTTTTTTTATGGGATTGTATATAATGAGACAATTTACTTTTGATACAAAGTGGCCACAGTTACTTATTGATAGTTTGGGTGTGTCACAAAGTCCGACAATATTTATTTTGAAGTTTGAGCTTGGTGAATAGAATAAATACAACTACCAAATTTCACATCCAATGATTAAAATTAATTGGGACCACTTTAAACCAAACATAAATGATCGATCATCTTCTATACTAAATGGTCTCATTCTACGCTTTTTTACTTCATTGAGGGCTCAATTTTTGTTGGCTCATATGGAAACGCAAAAGCATTTGTCCTCAATTTGTTCGAGTAAATAACACAAATTCATCCTCAAAGGAAACACACCGGCTTTACCGAGACCGAGAGAGAGAAAGCACAGGGACATCTGTACCGTCGATAGCTTCCAATCCAACGGCCTGTATCGATTTCAACCACCTCACACGGCACGAGCAGGCGAACGTCGATAAGACTGTAGATCCAACGGTTCCCATTTCTTCCCTCCAATCGTCAGTACAATATTTAAAACCCCCGCCAAAACGCCAAAGTGCTTGGGAAGAAGGGTTCTGAATCGTAGAGAGAGAAAGTTTAGAGAGAGAGAGAGAAAGTTTAGAGAGAGAGAGAGAAAATGTCAGGAAGGGGAAAGGGAGGAAAGGGGCTGGGAAAGGGAGGAGCAAAGAGGCACAGGAAGGTTTTGAGAGATAACATTCAGGGAATCACTAAGCCTGCGATTCGTCGGTTGGCTCGCAGGGGCGGAGTGAAGAGGATCAGTGGTTTGATCTATGAGGAAACAAGGGGAGTCTTGAAGATATTCCTCGAGAATGTAATCAGAGATGCTGTGACTTACACAGAGCATGCGAGGAGGAAGACTGTGACCGCCATGGATGTGGTCTATGCTCTCAAGAGGCAGGGGAGGACCCTCTATGGTTTTGGAGGTTGAGACTCTACCTCTTTTTGCAGTTCTATATCTCTCTCTATCTCATCTTTCTCTCTCTCATACTATGTCGTTTTCTCTTACTGTGTCTTGCAAATGTTAATGGTGGTTTTGTTGTTTCTCTTCGATGCCCTTGCAATGGAGGCTGGATCTTTGTTGATATATGGTTTCTTCTATCACTTTATTTGATTTTTGGTGGGATGTATATGATGTTGAAGAAACGCGAGGGATTTGAAATGAATGAATATCTCTGTGTTCTGTGTTTCTATTTACTGTTGATTTCCTTGTATTATGTCTTTCATTGACTGGTAATTCCTTTGTCTATGTTTCTGTTTGTTTGGTAGACAAAATTTTCTGAATGAAATATAGAAGAACGTTACAAAAAGATTGGCTAAATTTGGAAAAACGCTATCATCAAACATTTGATGCTGCTATTTTTTTTATTTTTAACATTTTTTTTTTTTGTAATTTTTTTTTCAATCCAAAACATGTACAAATCAATAGATGACAAATAAATTGTTTGCGTGATCACTTACAGCTTGTTTATTATTGCAAACAAACCCTAATAAACTCCTTAGAGACATGGTAAATAAACTCTAAATAAAGAAATTTTGAGTACACTAACCCTAATAAAGCTCCAATATCATAGTTACATGAGCTCAAAGATTGCAACAACCTCAGTATTGAAGTCAGAAAACAAAGACTTTCAGATGATGTAGAGAGAGCGTTCAATATAGAGAAGTGATGTTGAGAGGGAGAGAGATGTCAAGAGAAGGGGGATGTGGTTGAGAGAGTGATGGCAGTTTTGGAAAGTGTATTGAGGTTTGAGAGAACAAAACAAAGGAATGAGAGAACATCAAGTTTGTGCTCAATTTCAAACCAACTGTTAGTTTTGAAAATTTTTGAGTGTAGTTTGAACTAAGCAACTACTAAAGTTTGATACTCGAATTGATGTAAAATATTACAAAAAGTGGTCTGAGGTTGCAAACTTCGAACCACTTAAAACATGTTTCAGTTTGACGTTCACGGCAATGATTTGCTCTAAACCAGTTTTTGAAAACTTGGTGAGTTGAAAACTTGCTTGGTTCCAGTAATATACGGGAAATTGCTTGTATCTAGAGAGAATTGGGTGATTTCGAACATTGAATCGCCTGAGTCAATGTAGTAGACACTGGTGAAATAGTAAAAGCATTTTGAATCATCAAATTTTGGAGTTTTTTGATCTTTTTTTTTGCTTTTGCAAGTTTGATTTGAATATTTCAGCTTTTATCTTTAACTTTTCAGCCTTATTGTTCGATATATTGGAGCTGAAAGCTTCAATTTAGGTTACAAATCATTGAATTTGTGAAAAACATGGTTTTTTTTTTTAGGTTTTCGTATTTTCTTTGATTTCAAACAAAATAGGGCATTATTTTTGATAAAATCAGAGGGATATTAATCTTGAGAGTGTTATTGAGAAGAACTTATTCAAAATTTGTGATTATTTTGGGTTTGAATCCACGTTGTAGAAAAATAGGTAAGAATTTCGATTTTCTGCTATTTAATCGATTTTTATCAAGTTTTAGCAAATAATTTGTTCATATTACAGGGTTTTGATTTTGTGTAGTGTTACTTATCATAAAATATATTCAATTTGATCTAATTTGTTCGATTTGAGGTGTAATTTTGAATTTGAATCACTGTTATCAGTTTTTTTTTTTATTTTTTTTTTCTTCCGCCATGTGTTGGATTACCGAAGAAATAGGTCATTATTTTTTATGAAATTAGAGGTTAATTACTTGTGATTGTGTTCAACAGAAATTGTACACCTTTTTTTGTTGATTTTGGTCGATTACAAGTGAAATTTGGATTTGAGGAGTCGGTTTAAAAAAAAAACGTGTATTTTTCATGATTTAATCGATTACGATCAGTCTTTAGAAAATTTTGTGTTCATATCATGAGGTTTTAGTTCTTTATGATGTTATTCAGAAATATATGTATCTTATGTTTCATTTTTTGGTCGATTTGTAGTGGATTTTCTTATTTTGAGTCACGGTTTTGTGAAAAACAGTTAGGCTTTCCCCCCCGCCCGCCTGCCAGCCAGCCAAACTACAAATATGAGATGAATTGAAACACCATTATGAATTACTTCATAGGGTTTTTTAAGGTAATACTGTTTTTCAATTGATTTTGGGTGTAATTTATCGGATTAAGCAATTTTTATTGCTTGATTTTGGATGAAGAGAAGTTGTGGTTGCATTTTTTTTAAAATACAATTTTGATGATCAATTTTTTTGAAAAATCATGATTTTATTTAAAATTGTGAAAATCATGATCTGGTTTGATTATCATGAGGATTTAAACTGTATTTTTTATTTTTATTTTTTTTAAGAAGAGGGGTGATTCCTTTAATTTTAGTGATGTATATCAGTCCAATTTATAATACAACACTGACTTGGAAGAAGTTTCTATCATTACATAAGGTTTTCTTAGATTCATCTTGCACCATGGGAGAAAACTTTAGGCAATCCCTCTTTGTCCTTCTCTTAAGATGAGCAGTGTGAACTTGAATTGGTCAAAGTTAAAAATCAAAGTGCATGTTTTGTTGAACTTAGTTTCCAGTTTTGTTGAGCGTTGCCACAGGTGCAATAGCTGTTTGGCATACAAACTGCCCCTTCAATTGTGGACGTAGCTTTGCAAGCCTCTTCCTATTTTGATACTTGACCTTCTTCTTGAAACACCTATCTTTTCGTTTCAAGTGAAATTTGGTCAAGACAGCCTCTTGTCTAGCAAACCGTTCATGATCCTCACCACCCCCATCGATATTCGGAACCCCATAATCATCATTTCTATTCTCCAAATTTCCTTTTGTATATATAGCAAGATTTATATCATTGTTGTTTCAATTGCTCTCACCATGCCCAAGTTTCTTGGTTTTATTGGTCAAGCCACCATTGTTTGGTTGTTGGACACTAGAGTCCAATTCCATGTGCATTTCTTGGTTTAGTAGCCAATCTTTATGGTGGTTATAATTCTTGCAAGAGTTAGAAGCAAGGATTTGATCCAACTGGTCTGGAGGATTTGCTTTGGTAAATTTCTCTTGGGTTGTAGAGCTCCATGGAGGTCCACCTTATTATGAGATAAAAAGGGGTTGTAGAATTGCACCTTAGCTTGCACATAAGCTCTCAAAAGGGATGCCTCCCATTGGTATTGGTACAAATATAACACTAACTTGAGGGTGAGAAAAATGTATTGTGTCTTTTGTTAACTTAAAGGTAGGAAGAGAAGTTTGGCATGTCCATAAGTAATGGCACTAAACTATTGTAAATATATTTTTTATTGATACTATATCATTCTAAATTTTTTGCCCTATATGTAGTGGTTGATATAGCATATTTTTATCTATAATATTGCATAAATAAATTATTTTTGCCAGTAGGAGCTAAAATATTTTTGCCAGTAGAAGTATTTTGCGTTAACAACAAAGATAACTTCATGAACTACCCCTACATATTATCACTACATATGGTGATTATTTTTCATGTTGAATTGTCAGGTTAATTTTTAACCATTTACATATTAAAACAGTTGAGACATGATAAGATCTAGGGAAGACCCTGCATGACAACATGGGGACAGACTTGATCCCAATAAAAAAGATAAAATTATTTGTAATTATTGTAAAAAATTGATAAGTAGTGGGGTACATAGGTTCAAGCAACACTTGACAGGAGTTAAGAGAGATGTTTCTGCATGCAATAGTATCCATAGTAATGTAAGAAAGCTGATGGTGGCCATTCTCAAGGCTACCAAAGGTAAAAAAATTGCAAAGCAGAGGATGGATGAAGAGATATCTGGTTGATATATGTCATTGAGCGGGAATGATCCAAAAGAGCAATATAATAATGACCTGGAGACAAGAATGAGTTTACAAGAAACGTACTAGAGGGAAAGCAGGTTTAGAATGCTTGGTGGTTATGACATGTGCATGCATGGTGAGCCTAGCTCAACCATGCATGGCGGGTCCAACTCGAACATACATGGAGGGTCCAGCTCGAGCATGCATGGCGAGCCCAGCTCGAGCATGTATGGCGGGTCTAGCTCGAATATATATGGAAGGGTTGGTCGCAATATGTATCAAGAGGAACTAGACATTGAAGAAATTGTTCCTGGTTTATCTAGGAGTGCCAGTATTTCAGGTCATGGTTGTATAGACCCATTTCTCTTAAAGCCTAAGTCACAACAAATGACCCTCAAAGGCATGGTGAAAGGTACGAGAAACATGTTAGACATATATATTGGTAAATGGTTCTACGATAAAGCGATCCCCTTTAATGCAGCCAATAACCCATATTTCCTACCTATAGTCAATGCAATCCAGAGAGTTGGGCCCGGGGTAGAGCCCCCAACAGCATATGAGCTCAATGGGCTGATTTTGAATGAAGAGGTGGAGGGAGTTAGAAAGTGGATTGAAGAATATAAACAGAGTTGGCCAAGAACATGCATTACTCTTATGAGTGATAGTTGGTTAAATAAAGTTAGCAAAAAGGAGTTTATTAATTTCTTGGCCTATTCCCCAAAAGGTACAACCTTTTTGTCTAGCAAAGATGTATTAGGGATAAAGAATGATGCAAATTTTTTCGTACGACTATATGATCAGATAGTGGAGGAGGTGGAAGATAAGCATGTAGTCTAGTTTATTACGGACAATGCGCGTGCATGTGTTTCTGCGGGCAGCAAGTTGATGGATAAGATGAAGCATATAGTATGGTCCTCGTGTGCTGCACACAACATCAATCCTCTATTATAGGAGATCGGTGAGATCAAAATTGTGAAGGATACTCTATAGGAAGAGAGGTTGGTGTC